CTATAATTCTCATCATCCCAATTGCATCCCTGGTTCCTTTTCCTCTTCTAAATCCAAACTGATCTTCTCCAAGTACATCCTCTATTTTCCTTTCAATTCTTCTTTTAAGTATCTTTGCTATTATCTTTGCTGTATGTGCAATAAGGCTTATTGTGCGATGGTCGCTGCATTTTGTAGCTTTTGTCTTTTTCTTTAAGGCAATCATTGTCACTTCTGTAAAGTCCTTGGGCCACTCTCCAATTTCATATATGGTGTTCATTAGTTATGTCAGTGTTTTCAAACCATCTTCTCCCAGTAACTTGAGCACATCTCCAGGTACATCATCATCTCCTGTAGCCTTTCCCTTCCTCATTTCCTTGATAGCTTTTTCCACCTCACTTTGTAAAATTATCCACCACAAATCCCACTTGACCAGACCCCGGGATCGAACCCGGGCCGCCGCGGTGGGAAGCCAGCGACTAACCGGTTGAGCTATGGCGCGGCCATTAATATCCCTCGCTCTGTACACAATACAGTTTTTTGCAGTAAGTGAAAGCTTAGAAATTAAGCAGTGTTTGGTTACCATGACGACGAATTGTCTATCGATGCATGAATATAATAAGTTATGTAGCAGATCACGATGAGCGAAACCAGTTTTTGTCTCTGGCTCTTTATTTCTTTTGTGTTCTGTAGTGTTCATATAAAGCTTCTTACATGGTATAGTTACAGTGTTTATCTAGTCATTTGTCGTATAGTAAATACTTAATACAGCTTATTAGAACTGTATGTGTTTTCTGAAAGAAGTGCTGTGTATGAGACTTAAACATGTTGCAGCTTGCAGTGTGAGGACTGCGTAGACAGACAGCTGGCGCTGCCAACCCACAATCCTATGCGTGCCGTATATGTCTGCCTGAAGCCTGATTTAGCTCGAGCCCATAGCAGGCCGTACTTTTAGTTGTATGTTAAAAGCATAGGAGCTCTGTGAATTAATTTAACGCGTTGGCATGTTGTACGTGGACACCTAATGTTAAACCCGTAAAGGTAAAGCTATCGCTGTAACAGGCCTTGAAATCCCATAGGGTTGTGAGATGTCGAGGCTCCCTCATTTCCGAGACAGTCGGTTCACAGATGGCGGTAAGGTTGTCAGCCTTACGCGCCGACTTTCCTTTGCCCTTTAGGGAGATCCCTGGTACTCATTTCTGTTAAGAGGCTGAGACGACCACAGGGCCATAGTGCGGCTGGAAGGGTTACGTGAACTGAAAAAATCCACCTCATCGGGACTCGAACGCGTGACCTTCCGGCTTGTAGCATAGTGCCTCAACCAACTGTGCTACAGCGTGCTCCATGTTAAACCCGTTAATTTAGTAATGTTTATATTGTCACTGGAAGGCGCAACTATATTTTGTTTTGAAATGAGAATGAATCTATAATTTGTACATTTTTATGGGTTCATCGTCTATGATAATTGCACGAGGCTAGAGGTCTCTCTGTTAAAGACAGCTGGCTGTACATCTAGGTTGATACAGGCTTGAATGACCGACTTCTGTGATACTGATAAAAGTTGGCGATGCTGAGTTCATTTTGAAATTGGCGTGGGTCGCAAAGGAAAATAAACTGCTAAAAAGTAAAATTCTTAAATAGTGCGCATTAAATTAAACAGATCTTATTGTTATACAGAGTGTCCCAGGAAGAAAGGTTAGTATTCTGGGAGGTCATAGTATCGGTCATTATAAGCAAAAAATTGTATACGTAATGTGTCCCATTCCGAACGTTTTCCAAAGGGGTTTTATTACACTGAACAGTTCCAAAATTGTTTATAAATAAGAGATATTACGCACTGCGCACAGAATTACTGGGGGGTTTGGATTTTTTCCATCGTCCGTTATTATAGAAAGTGGAAAACTGGATGTTTCCATCCTCAGGTGAAGAGGGGTGAGTCACCTACTGAATTGGGCCCCTTAGAAAGAACTAATATCAAACCCTGGACAACTCCTGTCAGATTTACACATGTAACTGTACTTTTTTTTTTTGCTTAGAATGACCCACATTATGACCTCCCAGAATATTGACCTTTCCTCCTAGAACATTCTGTATAGTTTGTTGGTCCTTATGCATAATATCAACGTTAATTTTTGTATAGAGTAGATTTTATTGGGTGACGTCGCAAGAATACGCTTCGAGCTCTTGTTTCATAATATTTTTTGGTGCCGAAAACCGGGATGAAGGATCGTGGGTTCTTGGTGACCGTGAATGAATTTGTGTCCATCACGAAGCAGTAGATTGTTTCACGAGACATTTAGACGTCAGAACCTCGAGAGAAAGGAGAAAACAGGCATGCCCACGGTCGCTGACTTCAACTTGGCCCTGTCGACATTTCCGAGTTCTGACTTTCGACAGACCCCATACAGACTATGTTGTTTCTATAGCAATACACCAAGGAAGACACAAAAATAGTCGTGAACTAAGACCTCGAGGCGTATTCTTGCGTCGTCACCTTATTACTCAACGACGTATTTTTTTTTATTGCTAGTCGGTGGGACTAAGTCCCTTGTACTGCGCCCACTTCTGGCCTATTGTACCAGCCCCAGATGATAGGTGAAGGTGATTGTGGAGCATTTGGTGGAATGAAGATTGGCAGGGAAAACCGAAGTATTCGGAGAAAACCTGCCCCAGCGCCACTTTGTCCATCACAAATCCCACTTGACCAGACCCGGGATCGAACCCGGGCCACCGCGTTGTGAAGCCAGCGACTAACCGCTTGAGCTATGGCTCGGCCATCACAATTCAACGTCACTACAACAAAATGTTGAACAATTCGTTTCACAGTGTTATCAACTTTCACTAGAATGACAAAGAATTAAAAGTCACATTGTGACTGACGGTCGGTCAGTCTGTCTGTCTTGGTGTCGAGCCCCAGGTGGTGCTCACGACCAGTTGTTTCTTCTTATATGAAAGTTTCTTTTATTGCTAGTGGGGTGGGACTAAGTCCCTTGTACTGCGGCCACTTCTGAATAAAAACATTGAAAAGAATTTCCCGTCACTAGATATGTATCTTCCTTGGCTTGGCTGAGAGATCCATGTGTGTTGAGTGCGATCGAGTCAATAGAATTAACTGTTGCAGAAGAAGATGAGCTGTCGGAAATAAGAAACAATAGAAGACGAAAAGTGAAGCACTCATCAACAGATTCGGATGACCTCGTTCTGGTTCTGTCCGAAAGGAGCAGCCCATCATCACAAATAAGGCGATTGAATCACCCCTTCCTTTCTTCACATAGTATTTGTGTGAGGGTGGCTTTTCTGTTATGGTCACGATGAAGAGCAAGAACATGTCGCGGCTTCAAGCACTGGAGGAGGACTTGAGGGTATGGTTGTCAGCCATCCGAACTCATACGTAAGGGACAACATGAGACATCACCAAGCACAGGTTTCCCACTGATATTTGTATGCTTACATAAAGACTTTTTATTCCTACTCATGTTCATAATGTCGCATGTCGTGAATCCGGAAGAGATACTTCCATGGAAACTCATTAACGGGCCGTTGCATAGGAATTGCTGAAACAACAAACGCATTTCCCGGAGTTGAAAGGACAACAGAGGGTTTGTTTCGTAACACCGGATGAAACCAAACACTTCTATAAGATGTTCTGTATTGAGTAAGGCTAGGAGTTCCTAAGCAACGGATTGTTCGTTGCACACCAACGGATGAAATTAACCCTTCGATAAGGCGTCCCCTATCCCGTCCGAATGCTGGATATATAAGGGAGGTAGCTCCGGCGATAGTTCAGTTAGGATATCGCAGAAGTGATTCTGAGTTTTGTGCTCACAGTTTTGGATTCGACTCTAGCGAGATAGAAGCAGGTTGCGCTCAGACTTCGCGGAAGAGTTCCAGAGTTTACTAACGGTGCCTATCAACGAGATGACCACGTGGCACCAAAATCCACCACCACCAGGCTTCTGCCCAGGAAAAGAAGATCAAGGAGGTTACGACGGATGTGAGCCGGGATGTCTTACACAGCCAGGTGACCCTACAGGACCAAACCAGCGTTCCTTTCTTCCATACACGCCCTCTCCAGAATTTGTAACTCAACCCCCGACAGCTGCTCCGTACGAACAGGTTACATTGGACACCACAAACCAGGAAGCCATGTTTGGAACATCGTATGTTCAGGATGATCCAGGATGTCCTACACAGCCAGGTGACTCCACAGGACCAAACCAGAGTGACTTTCATGCATACACGCCTTCTCCAGGGTTTGTAGCTCAACCACCGACAGCTGCTCCGTACAAACTGGTTCCATTGGGCACCACAAACCAGAAAGCCATGTCTGGAACATCGTATGTTCAGGATGATCCAGTCACAGGAAGGGCTGAGAACTTCGAGTTCTCTGACAAGAGCATCCGACGAGGGTTCATAAGGAAAGTGTATGCAATTCTAATGGTGCAGCTGTTGATGACAGTGGCATTCATTGCGTGGTTTACATACCACGAGCCCACCAAACACTACGTACAGGAACACCAGGGCATCCTTTTTGGAGCATTTGCAGTGGCTATTGTATGTCTTTGCACGATGGTCTGCTGCGGCGATGTGCGACGTAAGGCACCTATGAACTTCATCTTCTTGTTTCTGTTTACGTTGGCTTTAGGGGTTCTGCTCGGTGTTGTGGCATCTACATTTGATTCTGATGCGGTCCTCATGGCTGTTGGTCTGTGTGCCGCAGTTTGTTTCGGTCTGACCATTTTCGCAATCCAGACGAAGTGGGACTTCACAGGAATGGGCGGTGCTTTGTTTGTTACCCTCATTATTCTGGTTATCTTTGGTATCGTGGCAATCTTCATCCCTGGAAAGATAATGAACTTGATCTATGCTTCATGCGGGGCACTGCTATTCTCTCTGTATCTCATATATGATACACAACTCATGATTGGTGGGGAACACAAGTATTCTATCTCACCAGAAGAATACATTTTTGCTGCTCTCAACCTCTATCTAGACATTGTCAACATTTTCCTGTATATACTCAGAATCATTGGAGAATCCCGAAGGTAGTGTGTTTTCCCGACTTCTTGTTTTGTACTTCTAGCTAACTTGGCATTGTAGCGCATGCAGTATATTACAGTCATGTGAAAAAGGAAATTTTGTGGGAGATTCGCCTGTTGTCTTTCATGAAATCCGTGGCAGTTCGAAATTCTGAATATCAACATAACTTTAGTAACAAGAGATGTTGCAATGAGTTGGGTGTAGTGTGTTATGATAGTAATTATGTTTAAAATGTTTCAAAAATATAGATTTGTCTTGTTCATATAGTTAATTTTTTTACTTGTAGTTGAATGTTTAATGTCACTGAAGTTCCATAGTTCGTCTGTGTAACTCCGTGTGCTTAAGATTCACTGAATAAAGTATCATGTGATTTATTTAACTTGGTGTATACAAGAAAGTCAGGGATGAATGTGAGATGACGAGTACCACGGAGCTGCTCGGGACGAGCACCCTTGAAGAAGAGGGGCGGAGATAGCGCTCGGAAGAAGAACAGCAAGAAAAGGAAGGAAGGGAAGTATCATTAGGCTGTTCTGGACGAACAACCTTTAGAAGGAAGCAATGTCGCATGTCGTGAATCCGGAAGAGATAGGCTACTTCCATGGAAAGTCATTGACGGGCCGTTGCGTAGGAATTGACGAAACAAACGCATTTCCCGCAGTTGAAAAGACAACAGAGGGTTCGATACGCAACAACGGATGAAACCAAACACTTCTATAAGGTGTTCTGTATTGAGTAGGGCTAGCATTTCCTAAGCAACAGAGGGTTCGTTGCGTAACAGCGGATGAAACCAAACACTTCTACAAGGTGTTCTGTGTTGAGTAGGGCTAGCATTTCCTAAGCAACGGATTGTGCATTGCGCAATAAGGGATGAAAGTAACCCTTCGATGAGGTATCCCCTATCCCGTCCGAACTCTGGATATATAAGAGAGTGTAGCTCCGGCGATAGTTCAGTGTCACAAGTATTACAAGAGGTTCCGAGTGAAATCACAGTTTGTAAGTCACAGAAGAGATTTAGAGTTTGTGTTCACAGTTTTGGATTCGACTCTAGCGAGATAGAAGCAGGTTGTGCTCAGACTTCGCAGAAGAGCTCCAGAGTGTACGTGTACTAACGGTACAGTAGCGCTCTAAGTGAATAATTGTACGAGTGTGTGTACAAATAAGCGTCCAATAAAAGAATTCGTTCCTATCCAGAGACCCACGCAATGTATTCATGTCGTGTCAAACTGCCGACACGTTGCAATATTAAAAACTCTTACCCTCTTTATAATGTTCAAAACTAATTAAGCACTACGCCATGAAGGCGTATGGAGGAGTGGATGTATAGATCCACATTTTCTTGATCTCAACAGTAGCTGGAGTTGAGTGGTCAGCTTCACGTCCGTGCCTCTTTACCACTGGGTAAAGAGCCCCCGGTACCTTCTGGATAGGAGGCTGGGTGGGCTCCAGAGCCGGTCTGGACGATATGGAAAAGAAAATTCTGACTGCCGGGACTCGAACTCCTAACTTTCGTTCATCCCATAGGTAGTCGCTATACCGACCGCGCTACCCCGGTTCCTTACTCTCTTTATACTCATTTTAAATAGAAAACAGTAATGTAGCATTACAGTATTTTGTTCAGACCCCACAGAACAAGAGAGGTGCGCATGACAGAGAGAAGGGTGGAGTTGACCCTCTTTTTGAGGTCAATGGAATACGTCATAGGATTTTTTTATAAATTACGTATTTCTCAATGCTATCTCATGTCAGTATTTGGAGTAATAACAAATATGAACAATTTTTTAAAAAATATATATATTTTTTTAAATCCACGATGAAAATTGTTCCTTCAGAAATAACACAGTGATTAAAATTCTAGCTGTTAAACACAATCTTAATTCTCGTGTTTTAGTGATAAAATCTCTTTTTAAAAAAAACTGATGTGCCTTGACAGTTTTCGCGCTTTGTGCAGTGCGCCGTAGGTTGAAAAATGTTGAAAATCTCTCTTGCAGAGAAACTAAACACATCGAAATATTGAAATCATGATGAAGAAGACTAAGAAGAGATGATGATGTTTATTACGATGACGACGGCGACAATAAATATGTCTGTTTTTCATCGTGGATTTTTTTTTCCCAGTGTCTCTTGCCCTTTTGAGAGTAACAATTCGGTTGTGTGATATACGTGGACATTTGGTATATTTTATTCACCAAGCTACGTACATTCAGCTGATCCCATGTTTAGCCTCCGATCTAACATGATTACAGGAATTCAGCGGCGACGAATAAACTTCTTGGTAAATTATTCATGGAAGTTTGTTACTAGTACGTGTATTATAGGACACCCGAATAAATATAGGGGTTGCGCGCATGCGTGTCACAAAAGATTCAGACTCGCTTTTCTGCTACAAACGCAGTCTAATCGTAAGATTTGAGCTTCTTACGGCTGTGATTAGGAACCGTGCTACCTTCTGGGATGCTACTTTGAGTAGTGAGGTAGTAACGTAGCTATGTTTCCGAGAAACGTGCTGTCTCCATCAGTGTCGAATACATTGACAAACATGTAGTGGACTACTCGGGGCCACAACCCAGAAAGTAGTACGGTTCATGTAGTTGAGACGGTTATCCGCGTTTCAACTACTGGATTCAGAAGAGCACATTTTCAGGCGAAGTCTCTTGTAATGAATATTTTAACGTACAACATGGAACCCGTTCATTCCAGAAGTCAGTTGAACGTAACAAAGTGGGCCCATAAGTGTAAATATAGATCTGTCGCTTTTAATGTCCTTATGGATAGAGTTGTAGGTCGCCATCATGGTTTGGTTGTGAGAGCTCGTGGCTACAGTTCCAGAGGTTCCGGGTCTGGAACGGGGTCCACTCAGCCTCGTGAGGATAATTGAGGAGCTCTTTCAAGAAAATAGCGGCTCCGGTATAGAAAACCGAAATTAACGGCCGTGGCCATCCGTTGCGCCGACCACGCGACACCCTCTATCCGTAAAAAATTGGCACTGACAAGCGACGGTCGCTAAAAAGCCACGGAGTATGGAGAGAGTTATGCTTACGTGGTCTTTGGTTACTTTTCATTGTCATATGTCATAATTAGGGACTGGATTTAGATGCAGATGCATATTTCTTTCTTAAGCTTTAGATCGCATCAAGTGGAGGAACTGTTTTGGAAGAGACTGTGGACCTGTCGTCTTGACAGATTACAGACGAATGAATGAATGAATGAATGAATTTCTTGCAACCAGAAAGTATGCTCTGATATATTGGGTTTCT